TACAATGTGAGCGTCATTCGAAAACAATCTCTTTATTTATATGTAGGCGATCGATACATTTTTTTTGCTTGAGATCTCTATCTCAAGTTCTGTTCCATTTTACATTCACTCTCTCTCTCTCTGTTTGAAGATGAATTCTTCGTCAACTCGGAACAAATCTCCTTCTCCTGTGTTTGTACTGGAACTGCATTGGATGATACGCTAAGGTCACAATTTGAGATATTTTGTTCAATGATCAAATCGTGATCACATTGTGCCTATGCAAATCAATTGATTGATTGATCCAGAAAAGTCGTTAAAGTGGCCATCGCATATGAGAGTTCGGAAGAGGCTTTAATAATAACGGTCGATGCGTTGAATAGAGGTTACAGGGTAATAGACACTCTTGGTCCATAAGATTGGCGAGTTCAACCACGTTACAAGCATGCGAATTTGTACCATTCGACCACTCATCTCATAGCATGCATGCCAGAGGGAAAGAATGAATTCCGCTATGAAGATTTCGAGAGAGCATCAAGAAGTGAATCATCTTCATGAACATAATAGATGGAGACTGGAATTTGGCATTGCTGAAGACACACTGTATTCTTCACGAAGTTGAAGGAATCGTGAGAGTTGAAGTGAGGAAAATGTTCGCCGTGACAGAGTTTAACAAAAACGGGTGCTGTGCAGTATTGGCTGGAATGTAATAACAAAGAATATGCAATTCAATGAACAAGGTGCTGCAATATGTGAATTTAAACATTCTTAAGAAACAGGACAATGAATGCGTTATAAATAAGAACACTTCTAGGATGCTGTGAGTGCAAGATTTTGACGCAATGCTATGCTTTATTCCACATTTATTTCTTACTCACGGTTAATGGTAGTATCAAATACTTGAACTACGGCCCCAAATACAATCGCTCTAGGACACATTTTTATCTTAATACAGATTTCGTGTATATTTGCACTTATGAGTTTTCAAAAGTCGTCATAGTGATAAAAGTCATTGAGTCCCCATGACTTTCAAGGCGTCAAGAGCAAGGAAGACGCATGACCTCAAACATTTTGTGTCTTATTCCAGTTACTTTATCTCCATCGCCATATAAACAGGAGGGTTAAATGTTGGTGCACTTGTATGCCGTTAATATCATTCATTGAAATTGGCTCTAATCATTTATTCAAAAAATGAACTTCCCCCATAGCTTATTTGCCCTTTACCTCAAGACCCCAAGCTTAATCTTTCTTTCTGAGCAGAACTCTCATGTTCTCAATTGAATGGACGTGATTGAACTCTTGCAGACCAGCTGTCAATGAGTGGGCGGATGAGAAAAGGGCTGTCAATCTAGTGCCGTGGGATGGTTTAGTATTAACCTATAACAAATTCACCATGGTAGATGTAGTGCTTCCTTTAGCGCGACTAAGCACGTGGCGAGTGGTATTGACGGGCCACATATAAATAAAATATTTAGAAGTTAAGTACCGAAGGCACTTGAATACCGCTTGCCAAATCTATAAGTGAATTTAATCGTGGATTTTGTAAGATAGACAGACTTCAACAGAATCAGTCAAATATTGTGCATATATACGAATTGTAAGTCATTTGACCATAGTTTATTCAAACAAACAAGAATTGATAGCAGGTTACAGAAAACTGTGATTAAACCTTGATTTAAATTGGATTCAAAACATCGATCATATTCAGTAACTAAAATATTATTCAATGCACCGGTGCGCCATTTAAACTAATCTCCAAGCTCAAAATATTGAATAGTCAACATTTGAAATTGTTTCAGGAAGAAGATTACTTGTGTGCAACTTTCTCCTATTGTAGCAATTGTGACGTGATTCGTTGTTATCCAGTTTCAATGAATGGTCAAAGCGATGTCCTAAGTGTTTCAACTTCAGACAAAAAGGTGAACCATATCTTCATTCCTAGTCAGTCAGGCAAAGACAGAATCTCTACTAACCCTACTCAGGTTCGAAAACCAGCTGATAAATACTTCATTACCAGAAGTATATTGAAAAATGGAGATGAAGGATATTTCGTTCCATCGGGTACTTCAGTGAGCACTTTGAAATCAGACTTAAAATATATGGTAATTTGACATTCACTCAAAATGTATATCATGGCAAAGTAGTTCCTATTGTAAACGACTTCTTGTAGGTGAGTGATGACTGCAGAGACGATATGCAGGATTTTGAACTTACTAACTTAGAGTATGATGCAAAGCAGCAAAACGTGTACCTGCTTTCAGACAACTCTAAAGAAAATCACCATGGAATTTTAAATTCAAATAAGCTGCAAAATGTCGACTTTAAGTTGATTCAAAGTAGGAAAAAAAGACTGATTGAAAATAGTGAGACAAATGGACTCTTGCCTCTATCAAAAAGAAGAAAAATAATGGATGATCTAACCAATGTTTTCACTCTTGATTTGCCAACTATGAACCTCCCTGATATCAAGGAAAAAGACTTTAAAACGACTACGATCTCCCGAATGGCGAAAACAGAATATTTCAAATGCCCTCAAATTGCAAAAATCGAAGAGTGGTTTGACGATAATGAAGACGTATCTGGGAATGAATATAATCCTATTCCGAAAGGGAGGTTCTTCTCCCCATTCCCATTGCCAATGATAAACTCGAACAAATCGATTGTAGAAGAAATTGATCGTTGTTTGGCCTGCGATATGAATTCGGAAATGTCTTATTCGGAAGATTTTTATTCACCAGACATCAAACGCTACCGGAGAATTTCTACATTACACAGCCCTGTTTCCCAAGTGGATGGCCCTATTTCATCTATTCCAAGGGTGATTGAAAATGAAAATGAAACTACCACTCCCGTTTGTGGTAACATAGAGAACAATTACCCAGATGCTAAAGCTGATCGTCATGAAAGAACATTATCATCTACTAATGCAATAAAACGCTCCCTCACCGAAGAATTCATAAGAGTTCCTTGTAAAGGAACAGCACATTCATCAGATCAGTGCTCTTCCTTTACAGGCAAATTGCAATCTTTTAGAAAAGGGAGCAAAACGAAAATTCAAAGGTACGACTACCCCTACTGTGCCGCCAAGATCTGTTTAACGCCAGTAGGTGCGTCGATCGATTGGATCTGTTGTGATACTTGCGAAAAGTGGTATCATCAAATCTGCCTTCGATTAAAGACCCTACCAAAAGGCCACTACGAATGTCCTTCTTGCTCAAAAGCCAAGAACAAATAATTAAAGTCAATGAATTTTATTTTAATTTTAATTGAATTGCTCATTAATCTAATTGATATATCGGAGCACTTTTACTAAGAAGATATCCCAGCTTTGTATATTTTCTTTTCTATGTTTTAATGTAGATTTTACATTGCTTTTTTCAATAGATCCTTTGCATTCAACGTTCACTTTCTACCATGCACGTGTTTTATATTAAATTTACAGTCAACCGAATTCAAACACCAAAATTCATTGTTGATCATCATGACTAGAAAAACAGTTTCTGTATGAAGTGTAATAATATCGATTTCAAAATTTAAACGTTTTCATACGGTTGACGTTAATGGTATTAAAGTTTTTGGAGTCGAACGTATTTGTGGCTGGCTGTTGTAGGCAGGAGAGCGTCTACAAATCAAAGGCTCCAATATTGTCCTGATTTGGGGTGTGCGATAGACTTACCTCCACGTGGTGCACCCTGGGAAACGTATACTCATACGGCAAAAAAGTCTATTAATCGGCAGCTGACTTCTGACTTTAAATTACTAAGACCCCACTGCATTTCATATTTAACCTCTTCAACAACACTCATCTTGCCTTTTTCTCTACCTTTGTGTCTGTCTGCCTCTTTTACATTGTGAATCGCTCTTCTGCTCCCCTTCCTCGACTTTCTGCTACTCTGATGACTCTTCCCTCTGTGAAGCCCGAAGTCAACTAAAGGGCTAGTGATAGCTATCAAAATGCCTGCCATTTGAAATCAATAAATAAATAAATATTGTCCTGATTTGATGCTTTCACTACGAGGGTGGAGTCCGTCTGCGAGGCTTTGGGGGAAAAATCAATTGGGATCTAAAATTTAAAAAATGTAAGCTGTAAATTTATCTCGCCGCAGTATTTTGAAACCTTAAAGTAAATATTTCATGTTTATTTGAGAGAATGACTTCACGAAGTTCTCGATACAACTGGTCTTAACTTTGACAGATGTTTGTAGAAATTTCAAATCAAGATAGATTTGCGTGCTTTACACCAACATCTCCTTTGACTTGTGAACGTAGAAAGTTTTTCTGGGGAAATTGTCTAGCAAATGTTCACTTCATACTTTGTATTAGGATATTCAAGCCAACTAGTTCAAACAAATTTAGCAATTAAGCCACACAATTAAAATACTAATCGATATATGAGCTTAATCAATCATCTAACACATTTGGAGTGATACAGTACAATGAAAATAACGATAAATTTGTTTTTTTTTCCAGTATTGAGCCATTAGCAGTTTTTGTAGGCTGAAGCATCCAGAATTTCGCCTTCCATGGCAATAGGCAATAACAGCAGAATGGGACATATTACGGAGGAATTGAATGCCGAACGAGCGCATTTAATTATAGGGCAGTTCGCGGAAATGTCCATCTAACACTTTGAGTAGATAAATTTGACAGTCCCAACAGAAGAAAGGGGAAAAGCAGTGGAGAAATTTAGTTGTCAAGGGAATTGAAATTGTTTCAAGGAGTTTCACTCGAAATTGCTGATATTAATGTCACCTACAGCTTCAATCTAGTCCAGAACCAGGAAACTGATTCAAGCTGAAAACAAATAATTTCAATTTCGGGAGAAGGAACAAAATCCTGTAGTCATCATACATATTGCCAGTTACTCTCTTTCATTATTTATTTATTTATTTATTTATTTCAAATGGCAGGCGCTTTGATAGTTATCATTAGCCCTTTAGTTGACTTCGGGCTTCACGGGTGGGGG